TCCGACGAGCGACACCGCCTCTGATCTTCACTTCACGTATATGCTAATTTATTGCTGTCGTTGTCAATGTACTGTCAACTACTCTACTATATGTATATATGGTTTATGATTACTATATTTACAAAAAACGCATGTCGCATTTTCGTTTGGCTTGTATTGCCTTTCTGGATAACGGTACCTGTGTGATTGGTCGAATCTTTTCGATGATATGTAACCTTCATTAGCATATCGCACCTGTGTTGTTCCGTTATTCATTTTTTTCTCCTGTCTGTTATAATTTGGTTTTTGTGTGAGGAAGTTTAGTGTAGGTCTTCTTGTTTCATATCTATCGTATCTCGATATTGTCTCCTCTTCTTCTAGTTCTATAGCTGCGTTAATTGCGTGCTCTATTTGGTCGAGAGTTTCTGACAATGTTAACGGTTCTGATTCACCTTTGCTTTTTTCTTAACAGTTCTCTCACTATCGTCTTAGGAAACTTCCTCCTGATTATAGCTGTCATTTCTTCCGGATCGACGTAACTGTAGTTTGATAACGAACTGACTATAGTCTTGATCCTGTCAAAGGTGGTACGCATGTTACTGAAATTGCATTTTTCTAAGGCGTTCAATTCATTTTACAAAGCTTTCTTTCTCTCTTCTGGTCTGTCGAACAATTCTCCGAGTAACTTGTAGGCTTTCTTATAATTCCCTTGTTCAATGGGCAGGTAACTTAACAAATCTTTGGGTCTTCCAATCATGCACGATTTGAGATGATACAATTTTTCTATATCCGACATTTGCCTGTCTTTATGAACTACTAGCTTAAACATGCTAAAAAAGTCATGGAATTTCGTATAATCTCCATCATATTTCGGTAAATCAAGTTTAAGTGACTAATTTCTGTAAATAAAACTATCGTAATGGTGGGATTCTTCATCTGACTTTGAACAGTATCTTTTAAATTTTTCCTTTCTCCTGATTTCTAGTTTACGTTGTGAACACTCTTCGTCAGAGCTGTAAGGTAAGGATGGGTTGACTTTTCTTATGTCTCTTTCTCTCAGATGTTTTGCTTTCGTTTCCTCTTTCGGATACTTTCTAGATAATAATTCTAGCATTTCGAGCTCCTTTCTTTCCACTTCTTTACTTTCTAGTGGGATTGGAGTTGAGAATCTTGCACCGTATACGGATGATCTACTTTGACCTGATGTATAGCCGTCGTTTTCAGCTTCCTCTATCTCTGCTGCTGTGTTTGTGAGACTTTCTGACCTCTGGGTGCCATCTATATCTCTTACGTTCCCTTCTTCCCAAATCATGTCAAATTCTTCTTGGATTAGCTTGAACTGTCGCACGCTTATGTCATGTGCTTTCATTATTTGTTGGGTTTTTTTCTCTCAAAAAAATTTTTTTCATGTCTTCATATACTGCGAATTTTAGTTCATCCCAGATAGGGAGAAATATGATTTCAATGCGTGTTTTCGCCACTTCACCAAGAGTTTCATCTTCACAACTAACGGTGAAATGCTTTATCAGACATCATATCATCTGAGCTAATTTCTTTTTCCTTATTATAATTTTGCAAAATCGTATTTGCAGCATCAAATCTCTCTCCGAGTTTTCTTATTCTGCACTGCAGAGAAGCTTTCATTTGATGCATTTCTTTGGTTTCTGATTCATTAATTCTCCCAGCCATTCTTACTTATATTTTAACCAGAGGGTTTCTTATCCTTTCTGGTTCTGTTCTTTTCGTTATGCCAGCTCCTACGAGTTTCTGGTCTTATCTCTGTGCCAGCTCTTATGAGTTACTGGTCTTTAACTTTCTGGCTTTGAAGTTCGCCGATGCACCACTTTTTATGTTTCAAATCTTATTGAGAACACAAAACAATAGTTAGAATAGCTTTATTAGGTACNATCGGTGTTGTATTGCTTGCTTTCGATCATCATCTGAAATAAGCCTGAAACCTTATCATTCTCCTTCTCTTCCCAATCTACTTTCGCTTTCTCGCGAAACACTCCAAACAAGAGGATGAAAATGAGAGTTTATTGTCTAACATGGACAAATGAGGAAACAGTATTTCTTCAGCCTACATGAACGGCATATTTTCGGTTTGAAACAGTTGTTACGGTGCTGTCGGGCACACTTCAAGAAAACCCTTCTTCTGGATTGACATCAACCTTTCCGGCTTCGAAAATGGACATTCTTCTGGCGCATGGTATTTCGTACAGAATGTACACTGTCGTCTGGTTTTGTCTTCCATAGCTTTCATGAGGACTTCTATCTGTTCCTCCAGGCGAGATATGCGTGACTCATGAGTTGAGATGTCGGTGGAGTCCATATTGAGAGCTTCCAACTCGTAATCCATAAGTTTCTATAACCCTGATCCAGTTTTGGACTTGTAACGTTTATATTACCTCTTGATTATTCATGGTCGTCTATTGATATAGAATGATTCACGTCAGACTGATTTTTTCTTTTTTTTTTCTTTATATACTCTTTTGGTCACGTGAAATACGTTAAAAATTATCATAATTACTAATTAACCCTTTGTGACAGTCGGTCACCCTCCGACGAGCGACACCGCCTCTGATCTTCACTTCACGTATATGCTAATTTATTGCTGTNCATCACCGGCTCACTCGTTTTGTTCATGAATTTATTACACTGATGTGGTTCGATGCTTAAAAACAAATGAGATGAAGGAAAAATGCATAGAACCGAACGAAACAGTTGGCGAGAGAACTCGCGAACACTTATTTTGAAAGTACACGGTTTTTGAGTTGTTCATTCAAGTATTTCATTTTTTCAAAATCCTTGATGACAAAAATTCGAAATGAGTTATTACAAAAATGATTTCGGGCGGGTTCGAACCGCCGACCTTCTGTGTGTTAGACAGTCGACTCAAATGACTATGACACTAAGTACAAAGACTATAGTAACTTACTATGACTTATCTTGGACCACTATGACTATACTATGACACAAATATTTTCGAAAATTAATACTTCCACTCAAAAATTATTTCGCGATCGCAAAATGAGTAAATTTGAAACTAAACGGGAAAACATGTGAGTTAAGCAGAATCTGCGAATATTACTCTACCACTTTAAAAGTTTCCATTTTGTTAGAATATGAACAATATTTTTGATATATTTCTCAAGACCCTCGATATAGTCTTTTCAAACCTCGAACTCAACTCTAAGTAATCAATTCTTTATGAGGACTACCAATTGTTTCCAATACCAATACTCAATACCACTAAATCAACAAAACCAAAAGCTCAAAAACATAATCTAATATAATTTCAAAACAGATTATAAGATCTCTTATAACAAAAAACTTTTCTTTTCCTCAATCGGAACTGTCAATTGAACTTTCGTAATTCTCCTCAATTTCATGTAAACTCTTCTCCAAAGTACTGTCAAGCGAAAGTCTTAAAAACATCAATCTACTCCCAAGACATTCCAAAATACCTTGATAATGCATGAAAATTTCGAGACTTATTGTTTTTCGAGAATTGAACTCCTTTGCGAGAAGTATACTTTGAGCCATCTAAAACGCTTCGAGTGCGGAAGCGAATTTGGTTAAACGTGCGGTTGCTTCTGTGTATCTCCATGCTAGTAACAAATTTTTTCTTCTTTTCGTCATTCATTTCAACGGAACACAGACAGCCTGAAAAACTATCCAAAAAACGAAACCAGAGGAATTCAGTTAACTTTCGGGCGCTGTACCACTGCCCACTTTCGTTTAACAGAACTGCAACTTACATATGTATGCACACAAAAAATGTGTGATCGCGATGTTTTTTACATGTCGGATTAAGGCAGATGAGGCGATTGCTTTTATACTCGAGTTTCGTAATGCTGAAATTACGAAAATACTCAATGCTCTGATATATCTTACTATTCATCAGATTCAACAAAGTAAACAGAGCCACATTGGTATTGAACAGTTTTAGAGAGGAGCTTATGAAATATTTCTTTATGAATCTTTCCATCTCCTAAACAGAATTAATTTTTTTTTAGTTCTTAAATATTACCTGCAGTTACCCATGCTGGATAATCGCCTAACATATCAGTGCTCAGAACTTTATCTAATGCAAAATCACGCAGAACGTGAGCCTGTTGTTCTCTCAACATGGTTCGGAAATTCGGATAACAAAAATCAGTTTTTAAAGTTGATCTTTCTCCTATCACAGCATTCTTGCGGTGCCTCATCTCTTCTGAAAAAAGAAAATTATTAGGGCTTCAAAAACGTTTACCTTCATGTATTTTAAGAAACTGATCTAAAGCGAAATCAGCAGACACGCCT